AACTCCAGAACAAAACTCCAAAGTGGAGAGGAAACATCAACACATATTAGTAGTAGCTAGAGCACTGAAGTTTCAAGCCAATCTCCCATTGAATTCTGGTCTGATTGTGTAAAGCATGCAGTTTTCCTAATAAACAGAATCCCTTCTCAAACACTAGGAAACACTTCACCATATAAACTGTTTTACAAAAAGCCTCCTGATCTCAGTTTCCTAAGGGTGTTTGGATGTCCTTGCTTTGCTTCAACACTTCCAAGCACCAGAACTAAGCTTTCCCCTCGATCTAGGAAACGAATTTTCTTAGGTTACGCACCTGGAATTAAAGGGTACAGACTTTATGACCTGGACAATCATGAAGTTTTGTCTCCAGGCATGTCATCTTCCATGAGTCTACATTTCCTTTCACAACTCTTTCCAATTCTCCTCTTGGAAGTATTGTAGCACCATCTATCCATCCCATTCTAGCTCCTAGAGCATATGCAAATGATCCTGATTATCATCCTTCCCCTACTGTGTCTCCCATTCTTCTTGATAATGACAGTTCAACATCTTCTGATACTGACAGCAGCACTGATAGCCCACCAGAGACCCCATCCCCATCCATCTTCCTTCCTCCACTCCAGACCCTTCTAGGATCTTACCTCCTAGGGCCATCAAACCCCCAGTCACCTCAACCAATATGATTGTGAGCACTTGGTTACCCGCAGGTCCCTTGGTTACCCGCCGGTCTTAGTTATTTGCATTTAAGTCATGTCCTGCATGCCACTACAAGCAAGAGGTACCACATTGACTCCTTTTTCTCTTACTTCAAGATGTCTCCTTCCCATAAACACTTTGTTATGTCCATTTCTGCTAAAACAGAACCAGAGACTTATGCATAGGCCTCCGAACATGCTGTTTGGAAGGAAGCAATGCATAAAGAGAGAACAGCCTTGGAAAAGAATGGAACTTGGAGTGTTGTTTCATTGCCTAAAGGAAAGAAGAAGATAGTCTGTAAGTGGGTATACAAAATTAAATACCTTTCCACTGGGGATATTGAGAGACATAAGGCTCGTTTAGTAGCCAAGGGATATACACAGAGGGAAGGTATTGATTACCTTGACACCTTTGCACCTGCTCGTGACTTGAGACTCCACCTCGCCGACGAGAATCTCAACTTCAAGGAGGATCTAGCATGAAACGAAACTTATGAGCCACCGTCCGGCTCACTACGTGAAAGAAACGCTTGTTGGGAGGCAAACTAGCCAGTCGGTTTGAATTTCTTTCCCCATGTCTCTTCGGTTGAGTAAGTTTTTCTTTTGATTTTAGAGTCAATAACTCAACCTTTGTGAGATTTTGTGTGGTATTTTTGTTCCGAATGCTCTTTCTCTACTTTCCTCCTAAAATACACCGCCTGCCCCGTTCACCATCATTCACACTTGATCTGGTAACTTCGTTCTAACCTCCTTATTTTTCCTCCATTGAGGACCATGTCGTGCTTAAGTGTGTGTGTGTGTGTGTGGGAAGGGGGGGGGGGATGTTCCATTATATTTGCGTTTGAATGTTTGGAGCCTAGTCCACTGTGCAAATTTTGATTTGAGGGCTCCAAGTACTGTACCCTGCAATACGCTGCTCAGTATGCTTTGAATTGACAGTCTTTATAGTATCATGCAACATAGGGAGGTAGTTGTAGCATGACACGCTACGACACAACACCTAACAATGGCCAAGTGTAACCAATGAAAGGGACTGCAGTATAGTGGCACAAGTAATAAATATCGAATCCACAGGTCTCTAGAGTTACTATTACTCAGCTTCAGTTCATTATCTAGCAAACTAGATTAAGGATTGATTAACTAAACTACTCTACTAACTAAACTAAGTAAAACTACTAATTACAGTTTGGGAACTCACTTAGGTATGATTCCCCCTAGCTCCTCAATTAGGTCCAAGTTGCAATTACCTTTGGTTGATCTAGTGTTGATTAAACTGCGGAAGATCCTAAATTAGCTTGGAATCTCTTAAGCTGACCAAGTCCTCTTAGACAGAATACCCGACAGGCGACTAGCCTTCACCGGGATAGACTGCTAAGGCGATTCACACAGATCTCCACTATTGGAATGAATTCCAGTACAAAGCAGTGAATTGGTTGACTCTCGCACAACCAATTCACCACTATCAATCAAGGAAGCTCTCTTAACCTAATCAGATTCTATCTATCATAGGTTAAAGCAGAAATCAAGAGAATTTGATCAAGATTCAATTGACTCAATAAATCATGCCTCAATCGATTATAATCAAACAATATAGCATCCAAAACTTCATACAAGAAAGATCCTAACACATGGAACTAGGGTTCCTCAAAACCTAAGTGAAGGAAAGTTACTCCATAGAGAAGAGAGAGACTGCAGAAATCTGATCTAGATCTTCAATCTCCATATCCAAGCTTGATTCTCGAGCTCCAATAGCGAAGAAATCCTCCAAAATAGCTCCAAGAATGTTCTCAAGTCTCTCTCTCTCTCTAGGGTTCGTCCCTTGGGTGTTTGGGAACCAAAACCCAGCTCTCCACTTTCCTTTTGCTGAAAATCGGAACAAAAATTCCCGATCACACGGCCAGGCCACACGGCCGTGTGACTTTCCCAGATGCCCGTGTGAGGGCTCGGTGATTTCCACACGGCCACATGGCCAGTTCACACGGCCGTGTGGGTCGTGCCCGTGTGGCTTGCTCACCCTCTGTTTAATGCTTAGTTTCTCCCTCGTCCGAACTCCAAATCAGTCGCCGTTTGATCCCAGACACTCGTAGTCTCGTCCTCTTTCTTTTCATTACAAAATTACATGATTATTTTTCCATAATATGAGGTAGAAGTCCATTATTCCTCAGGTCATGCTCGTGTTTCTTCTCCCGAATTGTCGAATGATCTCCGATTGACTTCAAACTTGCGCCTATGCTTCAATTTACATGCTAGGACCTGAAATGTGACAAAGGAACACAACCTAGCATAAAATAGGCCAAAGAAGCGATAATGCAAGCTTAAACGATCAAGAAACAAAGGGGAAAACATGTGCAAATATCGAGTCATCATAGAACTATGGATGATGTTGATGCATTAAGAAGTCTCCTTTCTTCTTCATATTTTGTTGGTTGATTGTGAGAATTAGTGATCTTAGGACACTTGAATCGTGTGGTATCGATGACTCTCTACCTATCGTGGACTCCTGTATCATGTTTTGAAAAAGGTGCTCTAAACTGTGCTTTTCAAAATAATATCTCCCGTGTGGAAATAGGTGAAAGTGTGTAAGGGGAGGCGGGAATCAGTTCCCAACTTCCACCTACTACCTCCAGCCCCCTTACACCTCTTTCCCCGGCATGGTAGGTAAGAGCCGCTCGCGGCATGGCCGTTAAGGGCCGGGCTCCCTCAAAACCATGGCTAGGTGATAGCCCCATTTTCTGAGAATAACAGGTTGGAATCCTTGCAAAAAATAAAAATAAAAAACAAACAAACAAGAAAATAAAAAACAAAAATAGAAGAAAGGGTGTTCCAACCATCTTTAAAGGAAAAAAAACAGAGCACCTAAAAAAGTGAGTCCATGATCTTTCTGTTTTTTAGAGTCTCTTTGTCCACGAATCAATTGTCCTCCGATCACTACATGGCATGATCCCGACTCAGGACTAGAGTTCCCGCTGAAGAAGCTAGGTGGTGTCTTGTGCGTTGGTTGACCTCGTAAGCTGCTAAATGATTTAAACGTCCTCTACCAACAATCATGGTTGCATGTTTCTATAAAGGTATGGAGATTTGCATTGGTTTGAGTCAGGTTTGCTTGGAGACAAGCAAACAGTTAAGTGTGGGGGGATTTGATGACTCGACATTTGCACATGTTTTCCCCTTCATTTTTTGATATTTTAACAAGGAATAGATAAATTAATAGGGTCCTGACAAGGGGCTGATTCAGTAACCGCAAGCAACAATAGGCATAGGCAAAACAACCTCTCCTGAATTTAAAATCACCGCAGCATTTGGCAGAGACAACTCAGCCTTTACTATCTTTAAACCCACCGCGAGGTTACCGGCCTCCTTGCCCAGTGAGCCTTGCGGCAGCCCACTAGAGGGTACAGAGAAGGGGCTTTTGACACTCGAAAGTGCAGGGCTCTTTAGCGGAGCAGGAGTAAAGGTATTCACGCCGAAAGAAAAGACGGTACCTTCCGAAGACGTTGGAGCCGGAAGCTGCTGGCCGGAGAGAACGATTGAGCGGCGCCCGGAGACAGGAGCAGTACATGCCGGGAGCTGCTGGCCGGAGAGGGCGACTGATCGAGCCCCAGAGTCGGAAGCAGTAGAAAGCCGGCAACCAAGGTCTCTCGTTTCTGTATAAAGCTTTAGGTTCTGGGAATTATGGAATGACAGGTAAGCTTTAGCCGAGCCACATTTATAGGGAATAAACCCAGCTAATCCCCCGAAGAGGCGTATCTCCCTTTGAGTCCCGGAAAGCAGAGGTTGATTCGTACTAGGCCACCTCTCTTGTGGGGGAAATAATTGAATTTTTTAGTTTAATTTGTTACCGCAGATTGCGCGGAACCATATCAGAGATTTGGTGGAAAATCCATCCTTAGCCACCCGAAGAAGACGCGTCTCCCCCAACCAGCACCGGTCATCGGGGACGCCAGAGTAGTCGCGCAAATCGTCACCGGAGGCCTTGGGTTGCCGTGGTGCACAACGACGCATCTGCTACCTCTTCGATGGAGACAAAACGGGACCCCCAGCTCCGGGATAGCGCACACGATCAAAAGACGCATTTGCTGCGTTAGTGGCGATAGAATTCATCACGTCGTCGTTAGATCCCAATTGGCAACAACCAACTTGCAGACCAACAGGAATCACGGGAACAATCCCACCCCCTAAGGGAAAATCTTGACACAAGAGATCACCGAGGTCCAATCGATTGATTTCAGCTGTGGAACTCTGCACTCTGCTCCTCGCGAACGAGGTTATTTCTAGATCGTCAGCCTCCAAGTCGGACGATTGAGGTAGCTAAAATCTCCAAATCGCCTTGGGTCCCTGTTTCCTTCTCTTAAATGGACGAGCGGTAGGATTCTCCGGTGAGGGAAAAGCCCTCTGTACCGAACGCTTGTTGCAGCAGCGCGTCCCACCTCCACGCCAGCCACCATCCCGATCAGTCCTTTGTGGACGATTAACCTCCTTGATGGCGATAGGTGTGTCCTTTATTCCTTGCCCCTGTGAATCACTTCTAGCAATGGAAATCGGTCTTGAAAACCAGCTTTCGTTGCGCTGGTTTCGCATGCACACCGTGAAGACGGCGGCGACGACTTTGGAAAGCCATTTGCCGAAGAAAGAACAAACCAAGAAGAGAGAGGAGAGAGCCTCTCTAATCATTTTTTTTTTTTTTTTTGTTCTCGAGAAAAGGGGTAAAAGTGGGAGTGGTTGTGGTTTGATAGTAAGAAGTCCTTCCTTGAATTACGATGGGAGCTAGAAATTTCCAATTGCATGTCCTGGCTCGGAACTTCTATATATTGGTGGTGGGAGGAAGTTTCGGTGCAACACGGTGAAGTTATCTGTCAATTTTGTTACCCGTATGTTTTAAAGGTTTCTGTGAGACACTATATCTGCAGTCGGTAGATTACCGGTTGAATATATAATTACCCTCATGTTACTTCGGTGCTCTGGATATATATACAGCTCAATCACATTACTGTTTTTGACACTTACTAGTAACTAGCTAGCAGCCAGTTGTCTGGCCTTGCCCTTTTTCCATTTTATTCTATTGTATTCATATAATTACTAACCATCGTTGTTTATGGGATTAGTTGTTTAACTGCGTTTGACGTTTTAACAAACGAACAAGCCGCCTGAGTTTTATCTATCATACTCAAAACCCATTCAGTTTTACTTGCTTTAAAAAATGTAATTTTTGAGCAATTCTACTATGCTATATAGTATTGGTGTTTTAATGTACAACTTGAAGTTGTACCATAACATTAAATGTACAAGTTTAGGTTGTACCATAAAGGAATTTGTATCATTATGTTATGGTACAACTTTACAACTTGAAGTTGTACCATCACATAAGGTACAAGTTTAAGTTGTACCATAAAAGAATTTGTACAAAAAGTATAGGTACAATCTGAAGTTGTACCATAACATTAAAGGTACAATTTCAAGTTGTACCATAAAGGTAAAAACCTATAGCACCAATGCTATATAGCATTGTAAAATTCCTCGTAATTTTTCCCCAAAACATTCTCCAAACATTAGGTTAAGCATATGCTTTATGAGCAAAATAGTGCTGAAGAGCAACCAGAACATCCTCAAACGACAATGGCAGAACTGGAAAAGGCAATACAAGATATATCCTATATCAGGTAATGACAAACCATATCTACTTCCAAACACTCATTAACATCACTATCAAATACCTACAAGATTCAAACTTACGTTCAACATAATTGAAACTTCACAAAAGCAACGCATCATTAGAATTTAGAACATATATTAACCGACTCTAAGCATCGGTGATAAAAAAAACACCAACTAATACTCAGAGCATCAAGACCATCTTCTTCATCATCCGAGACACCATCTTCACCATTGGGGGGACCATCTTCAGAAACTTCATCATAAAACTGGCGGCCGTTAGCATTATCATAAAATTGCTGGCCACCAACAGCATAGAATGAGACACCATCACCATATTCATACGCCAGTAGACGATCCAAGTCCTCACCACCATCTCCCTTAAGAGGCATTTTAGTGTGCTTTATAGTATTGGTGCTATAAAACATTTACAGCCATTAGATCATGTTCAACCTTTATCAACCATTAGATTTTATTTAAATTATTAATATATTATTTTATTTGTTTGGGACAACCGGTACAACCGGTTGCTTGAAATTATTTGGGTTCACACCTCTTCTCACGGTCGAAACCATTCTTCTCACCTCTTCTCACCGCCGAAACCATTCTTCCTTCTATCCTCTTCCTTCGATCCTCTCCACGCAGCTAGCGAGCAGTGAAGACGGCGAGCAGTGGGTGACGACGAGTGAAGACGGCGAGTAGTGGGTGCCGACGAGTAGAAGAAGCTTGTCGATTGCAGCATCTCTTTGACTACGGCGAGCCGGATTCCGACAACGACAGTGAAGGCGGCGAGCAAGGGACGACGAGAGCGAGCATCTCTTCGTCGATTGCAAACGATTGAGCTCGTCGAGAGCCTGCATCAAGGGGTAATTGCGACGGCGACGCTGTGAGAAGAAAGAGATTTGGGGTTTCAAGTTTCCTCTTCCGCGATTGTGGACTATGCTCTTCCGCGGTGGGTCTCTTTGACGATATTGAAGTGGTTGAGCATCGGGGGAACGGTGAGATTGGGTTTCGCGGCGGGTCTCTGCTGATTGTGCTCTTTCGTGGTGGGTCTCTTTGTCAATAGTGAAGGGGTTGATTAGCGGGTCACCGGAGGGAAGAATTGGAACAAGATTCAGAGCTGCTTGATTGAGGGTAAAGTCTGCTCCAAGTTCAACGAGACTTGCCTTTTCGATACCGTCGAGCAGTTCTACACCGAGCGATTGTCCGCTCTTCAGGTAAAAAAAGACGATTCACTTTCTGGGTTTTGAAAATTCGTTTGGTGGTTTTTGATATTCTTCTTCTCTTTTCTGAACTTTTTGAGCGTGGCTTTTGGATTTCTGTGGTGGGTTAGGGATTTGATTGTTTTTAGTTGGGGAAAAGCGATGGGAAAACTATGGATTTTTTCCCTCGGGAACTTGTGAAATTGTTATTGTGCTGAATTTAGAGATCCTTGATGATATTGAGCAGCAATTAGGATCAAATAGATATTGAAAACTTTGTAGACTCTGAACAATAGAATTGCTAGCCATCTAAATGTTGGATCTTGGTCAATTTTCTGGGGATTCTAGTTCAAAAGTGCTCCACGGAAAGTTCATTTAGCTAGTGAAATCCCAGGTGAAGTGTTGAGTCTCGGATTCGCGGATAATGGAAGATAAACTAGGAAAAAAGCTAGCCTGAATTACTTAATGCCCCATCCGTAGTACGTAATGGTTAATACAGTAGGAATCCTTTCTTTCTTCTAGGATGCTTTTGTACTGCCACAAGGAGCTGCAGTATTAGCATCACCTTAATCGTAACCTGTATATGATTTTTGCTGTTTACGTGAGTTCACTTTCACTTTTTGTATTATGTGTAGGGACTTTGATCTGGTAACTCTTTCAGATACTACACGTTGGATTCAGAATTCAATTTCTCTTGTGATAGAGCTGCAATCTTAGTCTTCAATTCCAGGCAAGTTACTGAAATCTTGCCCTTTTAACTTCAGCCGTGAATTGTTATTCAAGATTGTTTGTCTGATTAGAGATTCATCAAGTGATAGGTTTTGGCGTGATTCATCAAGTGAACCTTGGACTTAATCTCAACCATGCGTGATCTCAAAAAAAGTTGCTCCAATCTGACCTAGCTAGCGATTGTGTTCCTTCCTTTATGCATGCCAGTATTAACTTTTTGATTGGAGAGACTTGATTTGTGTTTTATGGAGGCAAATCGAATAGGAAAGTTCATACTCAAAGTTTGATTCTTTTCAGTTTGGCTTGAGACAAGTTGGATTGTTGTTTGCCTTCAAACTGAGTCTGCAGAGAAAATTTTGGAAGAGTTGATTTGGTCTTGTTGGTATTGCAGTGTCGTTACCGTTGCTTGTTGATTACATTTTGGACTGTTAATTGAAGGGTCTTGCTTGGCTGCATGAAAGGTGCAATTGAGTGTGTTAGTCAAGAATTAGTTCATGAAATCAGGGTGACTTGAGGAGGAAACGCAAGAGAAATGAAGCATTCTCAATTCTGTGAGGTCTCTAGTCATTAAGCTATTGCTCAAAGTTTGTCCTTGTGTTGCTTCTCATATTGTTAAATTTTTTGGAGGGGGTTGCTAATTCGAATATCTTGCGATGGTTAGTTGTGTGGGATATATTTTGTCAACTGATCTGCTTGCTTGCTGATCTCCAAATCATTATGAAGTACATCGATAAAGATTGACCAATTAGCATAGATGTAGGAGACCTGAAATAGTCAAGAGATGATGCCCTTTCTTCTCTCTGTACAATGATCTTGTGTCTGAATATTCTGGATCTTGCTGTCCTCTCTTCTATAAAACAAAAGTATGTACTTGATCACCTTTTGTTTAAGCATGCAAGAAGCTGTTTGGTTTCCTATTTACTGCATTCGGATTAGACAAGGCTACTGCAACAGCTACGTTTGTCATATCATTCGAAACATCCATTTGAGCGAAAATGGGACTAGGATTGGTAGCTACTGGTGTGGTATTTCAAATGCTGAAAAATGCAGATGCATCATTTCATAGGTGGATCGAGCTTTGGGAGGTTAGAATAGTAGCTTTGATGTACTGATAAGTGATTCCTCTAGTAGCTTTGAAGTACTGAAAAAATCAGGGTGTTTTTAGTTTCACGGCTTATTTTAACGGCCGTGATTTTTGAAGCCAAAGCCGTGAGATTGTCTGGGATATGAAAACTACTCTTTGCTTCTCACGGGTCATGTCACGGCCGTGAGAATTTGCATTTTGGGTGAAATTTAATGGAAGCTGGGTGTTTTGGGTGAAATTTATATATGCCAATGGCGGATTTCATGGTTAATTAGTGTACTCAGGTGTTGATGTAGGGGGTTTTCAGTTCTTCTGGTAGTTAGAACTTGATATCGAGGCAAGTGTGCTTGTGAGCTCTGGTATAGTCTTGTATTTGTTCAATATTGTTTAAAGCCATATATTGAAAACCAGGATTGAACTCATTACCTGGAGAATGTGTTTACCGAATGATTAAATGATCCTTTTCTTGAATGAAACTTTGTCATAACCACGTTTTCTCGAATGTGTTTAAGTGTGAAAACTGAAAGTTGCTTCTTTAGATCAGTGGTGGACGACTCTGGCTTTGTGTATTTTGTTAGTACTCTTCGGTATGCTTATAATTCGTGTTTCAAGGCATGCTTATAATTTTTTTGTTGTTTTAATTTTGCAGTTTGCTAAAATTGTTCTATAATGAAGACGAAGAGTCATGAAATTTTTAGCACCCGCTGTTCTCCTAAGAAAGTATTCTTAGTAGTCTCAAATTTAGAGGCTTGTCAATCAGAGGCCATTAAGAGATGTGGCTTTGGTCGTATGCTTGAAGTCAAAGGAAGAATGCTCCAACGTGAGTTGTTGGAGATCCTTTTGAAGAGCTTTAATCTGGAAGAAAGCTCAATTCAGGCTTATGGGTTGAAAGTCCATATTTCGGCCAAAGATTTCGAGCGAATTATGGGCGTGCCTGAGGGAGGTACTGATACCATCTTGAATGGTGAAGAAGTGGGACGAAGATCCGAGGAATTGAATCCATTTAG